TAATGTAAGCTAATAATGCACCACGACTTATTCATAATATACCTAAGTGTGAATTATGTTGTGAAAGTCTAATAATGATGATTATGTCCTTTTTTAATTCAAAATGCACTATTAATTTTTCATATTTTATTATTTTATTTAAATTATTTGAATTGAAATAATTGGATCCGTGACTCTCGCTTTTTCAAATTCTTTTTCTATTAATTCATATAAATTCATCTAGTCATAATCGATTTCTCGATAATTTATTAATTATTCTTTTTCATCAATCATCATTTATTTTAATTTTTGTTTGCTTAATTATGTTATCTCATTACTCTAATCATGCTAGCATGAAAATACATATCTTAAAGAAAACTACACTAGCTACAATTATACTACCATTTTACTATTGATATTTTGTTTACATACAAACTATTATTTCATACTAAACCAATTTAGTGCCAACTACTACAAAAATGGATTATTAACTATCTATATTCATTTCTTTTTAGTTGACTATCCGCTTTTTCATTACTTTAACTATCATATAGAAAAACACAAACATAGCTAAAAAGCAAATTATAATACCAAGTACTATAACTACTATGGTATGTATAAGATCCATCCTTCAACCACATCCAATGTACATGTGTCGAATCGATCCTTTGGTATTCAGACTCAAATGTGAAAAACGTCATCTTTATCCGTGTTAGCTATAACAAGCAAATAAGTGAGTGATAGCTCATTAAATTAACTAATGCATGCTATGCATTTATAATTCATTTGCATGCTCATATAAAATCATTTTCATGTTATAAATACTTTTCATGATCAGCTTTGAAAATCCTTTTCCTTCTTTAGACATGTCCCATCACGTGTACTTTAGGTTTTCCAAAGTATGTTTGACGTAAATGCCTTGCCAAGCCTCTAAAAGTGCTCGTCCGCACTTGCTCGATCCCGAATCATTTACCATGAAAGTATGAAAAACCCATGAAGCCCTCCTTATAAAATCCTCAAACTCATGAAAATTTCATTCTTTAAAACATTCCCAATCTCTATTAGAAAACTATGACATAAAACATATTTTCATGACTTTAAAATATTTTTCATAAAATTTGACACACAAATGCATTTTATTGAAAATGCATAACAATTATTGCTTCGTAATATGTATGCTATAAATGAGATGCATTCATGCCATGATATTGCATAATTAAGCAACATAAATGCACCATGAACATCATCTTAATAAAACCATTATAGACCAATAAAACATCAACACCATCACACAATATAAAACAACTTACCTTCCGTAACCATCAACATTGTCAATTACATACAACATACACATTTCAAACACATCAAATAACATTCAAAAACTCAATTACACCAATCAAACTATAATCCCTAAATTTCCTAAGCTAGGCTAAATTGTACCTCAACTTAACCTAACCATTTTCTTCCAATTTTAATATCCATTTCTCATATAATTTCATTCAATTAAACCCTAACTTCAAGAACTAACTAATTAGGTGTTAATTGATTAGTTATATGTGTAATTTTCAATCTAGGCCTTATTGGGCCTAAACCTTAACTTCACTAATATAAGCTAATTTTTCAATTTCAAAATAATTTCTTATTCTAACTCATCTTATTACATTATTCTAAGTTTAAATTGATTAATTAAGGTATTAAGAATCAATTAAACCTAAACCCTAATTTGTTCCACTTTGGGCTGAATATTACTTTAATTCTAACCTCACTATTTTCTTCTCAATTCCTCACCAATTTCTAATACCAAGTCATTCAATTACACATTAACACTAGGGATCAATTTAATTGATATTTATATAGAATAAACACATGCATAAAACCTAATTGGGCCTTAATGGGTCGAAATTAGGCCTAACCTAAATTAGGCAATTTTCTTCAATTTTCTTAGAATTTTATACTTCTACTTATCAAGTTATGCTCCTTTAACTACCAATTAACTAACAATTCTTGAATTAAGTGGAAGAATCAAAATCCTAAAATTTAGGTTTTTAGGCCGAATGTTACCCTAAAAAAATTCATCAAATTTTCTTTATTTTAAATGGATTTTTTCATTCTTAAATACTAATTCACACTTAATTAAGCCATAATCAAGCTATAGAAATCAATTAAATCAAAGGATCAAAAAGCCCTAATTCACTAATTTGGGTCGAAAGTTTCCATCTTCCTAACCCTAGAAATTTTTTTACTTCTAAACTTCAGCTTCAAGTTCAATTAATCTATTTTAATCTCAATTATATGAATTTCTAGCTTAATTCTATTTTCCCTAATTTTTCATCACCAAGAACCCTAACCTTGATTTTCAAAATTAAGACTCAATATCACAAATTAAAGTATCCAAACCACAAATTAAAATCAATTAATACTTCTTTATGTCGTAGGTGAACTTGACTTACTCAAATAAGCTCCAATTTATTCTTGGAAAGTTGGGTTGTTTGAAAATTTCTTCCTTCCTCTTTCCTCCTTAAATTCGAATAATTTTCTCTAAATTCCTCCTTGGAAATTTCTAGCTTCCAACTTGAAATTGGGGTTTAATTTACCGATTTGGAGTGCCTAAAATTTGTTAGAAGTATTTTGGATGAATTTTGAGTGAAAATTTTACAAGAGTTTAGTTCGTATTTCACTATTTTTTTTTTCATTTCTTCAACACTTTTATTTATAGGAAAATTGGTTGGACTTGTTGAATTAATCTTCACCCATAATTTGGATAAATCTTGTCCCTTGATTCCACTTTTAACCTCTTCTTTTCACGTGGCTAAATTTTTAGCCTTTTATCTTTCTTTTAATTTAAACCTTCCATCTAACTTAATTAGGCAACTAATTTAACTAGAAGTCAATCCTAATTAATGCTCCAAGTTGGCAAAAGATGGAAGGAAAATGATTAATTATAGTCCTCCAAATTGCCAAAGCTTTTCATAGACTAATCTTTCAAAAGTCCTTTTATTCAATTGATCACTTTAAACCCTTCTTTTTAAGTTTTTATAACAACTTTTTGACTCTTCAAATTTCTATCTAATTTAATTTGAAAGTTTAAGCTTTTGATTTTATGCAATTGAGTCCCTAATTTTATGTAATTAAGTCCCCATGTCTAAAATTGCATCCCTACCTTTCCAAAATCCAAATTCTTTTTATAATAAATTTTAAAACTTCCTAAAAGAATTTAATCATCATCCACATAATTTTTATACCTATATTTAGGCCTCCAAATTAATTATTTAGTATAAAAATTATGCTATTTCCTATAGAAAATATTCCTTACAAATAGAAAAATTCATCTAAATTTATTAAATTTTCCTACAAATCTTAAATGATTTTTCTATACCCTTTAAATAATTTTCTTATACTTTTAAAGCACTTAAATTAATTGATTTACCTCAAAAATACTGTTCATGCACCAAGAAATGCGGATAAAATATTCACAAAAAATTCATCCAACAATATAAAATAATCTAACACCCTTCTAACAAATATTCTAAGTAAACAAAATATTTTTCATGCACATATAACATATCTAAAATAATTATTTCACACAAAAGTCACTATTCACATATCGTAAAACTAACAAAATATTCATTGAGCATAAGAAAACTATTTTAACTCGCTTTAAATATTCTTTCAACCTTTTGTGGATTATTCCATACCCTCAAAACATTTTTCGTATGTCTTTAATACCTTTAATTATATTAAATTTCAGTTTTAGCGGATAGATATATATCTTTTGATGATCTAAATAATTTAGATATTTTGGTAGAACACTTGTGTAGAAAAATTCAATAATCAAAATAAATGATTGAGTCTTTGGGTAGATATATATCTCATGGTCTATTATCTCGATTGGTTAGAGCTTCGTGTTGATAACGTGTTATAAAAAAATTATAACAATAATAGAATTGAAAAGAAAGATGTTGAGAAAATAAATTCACTATGAAATAAAGTGAATACAAATGATAAAAAATCTAAATAATTCTCTCAGTCTTTACAAAATATATTTATATAAAATAATGAATAATCAAACATATTTATAGATTTTAAGATTGGAAAGAAAATTGAAAGAGATTATGAATAATTAAATATGTATAAATAATTGAATCAATTGTATTATTATTTCAATTTCTCATATTAAGAGATGAATTGAATCTCATTAAAAATAATAAATAATAAAAATATAAAATAAATATTCATTATTTTATAACAAATTTTAATTAATTTAATCAATCGCATTTCCATAAGATTAAGCCTATCTAATAAATGTTTCTGTATACGCGAGATTACACCCACTGTGTGAGAGAGGAAAAGTACAAAAATCAAGATCATCTATTAATATTTTTGTTCATAAAAAGTAAATATTTCATTAAAAATCCCTTTTTCTTGCTCCTTTTTAGAAGTACCACGCTTTTTATCACTTCCCATTAACCACAACCCCCCCCCCCCCCCCCCCCCCCAAAAAAAAAAAAAAAAAAAAAAAGGACCAAAATTTTAAAATCAAAATATGTAATAGTTGAAAGATGAAAGATCAACAATTCAAGACTGCTGTCTCCAAAACTCTTCACTCCCTTACCCCACATACCAAAAATCAAACAAAGGAAAAAAAAATAAACGTCCGAAAATACTGTTGAGAAGAAAAATGTTTGCAAGAATCATGAACTTAAAATTAGTTCTGAAGTACATAAATTCCCACAATTAAGCACCCTTTTTCCTTCCATGTGATCACTCACAGACCCAATGCCCTTTGGTCCTCAGGACTAAACTTTAAGTACCAAACAAACTCTCTTCACTTCCCATTTCCAAACCCTAACAACTCCCCCATCAAAGCCTGTTCTTCTCTCTCTCTCTTCCTCTAGATCTCAAGTCCCCTCACAAAACCAACCTGACCATTCATTTCCTTCAAATGTAACACAAACACACCGGAAGAAAGAAACGCACACAGAAAAAGAGTCTTTTTAAGTTTATTACAAGAAAAAATCATTATGGCCTCAGCTTGTGTAAACAACATAGGCATGTCCCCTGAAAATTTCCCACCCAAAACTTACCAGTCTTATGGCTGGTTAAGCCCAAGAATCTCTTTCAGCCGTGAAGAGGATAGCAATAGCACAACCACCTCCAAAACTACCACCACCAAATCATCATCAGCGGCAGCTTCCTCAGCTCCTCCTCTTCCACAGCCACTAGATCCACCGGAGACCCATGATTCTGTAGACTTTGAGTTCCGATTAGATAACTCTATCACCATGCTTCCTGCAGATGAGCTGTTTTCTGATGGGAAACTAATGCCGTTACAAGTCAATACTGGCAACACAAAACCATCCTTTTCATCTTCTGCTTCTACCTCGGTCAGCTCGTTGACCGATGTGATAAGGTCGCCGGAGCCGTGGAGGGAGCCGGTGAAGTCTTGCCGGAGATTGGAGATGGAAATTTCTGGGACTGATCCTTACTTGTTTTCCCCAAAAGCTCCTAGATGTTCGAGCCGGTGGAAGGAGCTTCTGGGGTTGAAGAAACTACACCAAAACCCTAAACCCGAAAAATCAACGACGAGTACAGCGTTGTTTTCTTCTTCGTCGTCCTCAAATTCCAAGTCCTTGAAACATTTCTTGCACAGGAACTCAAAAACCTGCAATTGCAACACCTCATCCTCGAGCTCCTCCTCCTTATCGTATACTTTACTAGATCATTCATTGAGTCTCCCATTGCTAAGAGATTCGGATTGCGAATCGCTCTCCATTTCTTCACGCTTATCACTCTCCTCTTCGTCTTCCTCTCATGAACATGAAGATCTCCCAAGATTATCCCTCGATTCGGATAAACCAAACACCAACCTCAACACAACACAAAACACAGGTCCGAACCCATTCATTCTCAACCGAAACCAAATCCAAAACCCACCAAGAATGAGAATGGTGAAGCCAAGATCAGAGAATGGAAACAACAACAATGGCAGTTCTTCAACTAGAGTAGGAAGGAGTCCAATGCGGAGGTCTGCGGGGGAATCTAGTGAGGTTTCAATAAGTAGAGGCGTTTCAGTAGATAGCCCAAGAATGAATTCATCAGGGAAAATAGTATTTCAAAGCCTGGAAAGAAGTTCAAGCAGTCCAAGTAGTTTTAATGGAGGACCAAGATATAAACATAGAGGAATGGAAAGATCTTATTCAGCTAACGTTAGAGTTACTCCAGTTCTTAATGTTCCTGTTTGTTCACTTAGAGGGAGTTCAAAGTCAGGTTCTGTTTTTGGGTTTGGTCAGTTGTTTTCTTCTTCACCACAAAAAAGAGATGGCATTAACAAAGGGTATCAGCATCAGCATCAGCATCAACAGCAGCAGCAGAATATTAGTAGCAGCAACAGCAGCAGGAACAGGTCTGATAGAGCTTAACGGAGAAGAGAAGGGACACATAAAGAGAAGGGTAACAACAGCAACATTTTAGTGTTTGATTTTTAATTTTGTGCTTTTCAAAAATTTATGTTATTATGGATTTTGTTTTTAGGGAAAAAAAAAGAAATTACAACATGACAATGATGTTTTAGGTGGTTTTGTATATATGGGCGGTTTCTTTTCGCTTTTATCATTGTTGTTTCTTGTTAATGTTTGTTAGTAGAAAAAACTAACCACCAACATCGTAGTTGTTCTCGTTCTGTTGAGTTAATGCGGGGTACCTAACCTAACCCAGATGGTCAAAAAGCCAAAGCAAATCAGTTTATATGTTTAGATTCTTGGAACTTTTCAAGGTGTTCTTTCTTTCTTTTGAGAGATGGGACTTGACTTGGAATTGGGAATTGGGAATTGTGTGTTTGAAATGCACTCTCCGTAGAGCAAGTGAGAGGCTTCTTTGACTCCTCTTCTGCTTTTTTGAAGTTGTTTTAGCTTATCTAATCTGTCTCTATCCAAGAAATATTTTTGAATATACATACGGTATTTTTTTTTTAAATAATTTTTCAGTGATTTGTTGTTTTGTGGGGAGTTTGGGAAATGATGCTAAGATTCAAACAGAGGCGCCAGCTCTGCTGATTAATCTATTGCACGTCAGTCTGATCCCAAAAACTCTCTGCCTTTTTAACAATAGTTCAGGAGCCTAATTGGGATCTTTATGAGTCATGGACTTCATGGATATGCATAAAAATTAGGTGGTCGGTGGAGCATGAGTCACCTTCTGAGGGACAAAACATATGGGTATAGTTTAAAAAGTGCGTACTTAATTGGTCACATTCTTGGTCTTAATTGTGAATCACTATGATTAATCACTCATAGGATTTGATTTCATTAAGTATTCACTCAATTTGCCCCATTAGAGTTAAATGGGTCCTTATGCCAAAAAGCACTTAAATTTTATTCAACAATGATATCTTCTATCAATTATTTTTAGATTAATGAGTATGCATGTATTTACCAAAAAAATGCATGTTTTCAAAGTAAATAAATAGTCCATTCATTAAATAAGTGGATTTTACAAATTCAGTGGAGTTTTTCAGTAAAATCAATATCATTCATACTTAATTAGATGTTGTATGATTGTGTACTTATAGAAGAGAAACCGAGCATGTGGTAAGCAGGATTCCATTCAGATCCAATCTAGAGGTAAGATTTGTGAAAAGTGGGGGAAAAATTGTGGCCAGAATGTTTCTAGTCTTTTAATTGATGGAAGAGAGCAAGTGTATTATTAATAAAAACCAGGCTGGGTTCAATAGAAGAGATGCGCTCATGTTAGTATCCCGGGTGGCCTACAAGTTTTGCATGATTTAAAACTATGGAGTCCATGTGCTAAATTTCCGTAGTGGAGTGATGTGTTTTGAGAGTGACAGAGCAAATCCATAAAAGAGGCATCTCTGGTTTACCAAATTTCACATTGTCGTTGTCCAATGGGTCTATCGCTATGCCCCATCCTGCCCAAGATAACAAGACTATCTGCCTACTTACTTCGTCCAATAAAAAAATCATACTCAAATCCCAAAAAAAAAAAAAAAAACAACAAAACAAAAGCTATGAATTTTTTTATTTGATAGTTGCATGGGGATGCCGTAGAATCTACAATAATCCAGCCTTCACATATTTGGGCTAGCCTTCTCCCTTCCTCCCCCTCTCTGTCTCTCCTGTTGCCTTTGTATTTGGATTTTGGACCATAGGGCCTGAGGGATACCCTGCCTACATTTCTTTGTAGCCGTAGGATCTGTCTACATTTCTTTTAGGAGCAAGTGGTATTTATTTGATTTATTAACATCTCTTTTAATGATGTGGTGTTTGACCAGTCTTCTTGGACCGAACAATTTTTGTCCAGTAGTGTTTTGGGCTTGTGACAACATGAAAACAAGAAGCAACCCACTTGTTTTTAATTTAAAGCATGCATAACTACTGATCTGTACCTTGTTTTCCTTTTGTTGCACATGAGGAATTTTTGTGGTGAAACTCCTTCCTATTATTGTAATTAAAAAAAAAAAGCATATATTATTGGTATATGAATAATAGATTGTGCAATTCACCATAATACACCTATGTGGTGTTGTATGATGTAAGAAGTCAGAAGTCTTTACCAGTTTGGTTTTACCAAACAAGTTAGCTAGGAGGTCAGGTACTAGAGAGTGGGAAATGCCAAATGGTAATGAATGAAGAGGATGCTATTCTATCTTCCATAGCATGCATGCTCCTAATGTTAGGCAATCAATTTCATTCAGAAGATCTCTCTCTCTCTCTCTCTCTCTCTCTGTGAATAAGATTAAATAAGTTAGGCGACTGCAAAGGCTGGAAACGAGGGCATCAATGAATGAAAGAACGTGCTCATCTTCTGAACAGATTCCCCTATTCTCCAATCTCTTTTAACTTTCTATCATATGCTTCTATTTGTATCTCCCACGTAGAGAGAGAGAGAGAGAGAGACACCATTTTTTATTTTATTTTATTGTTATTCTGCTCTTTCATTTCATATAGTAGTAGATTTTTGGGTTTTTTTTTTCTTGAAATTTGTTTCTTTTTTTTTTTTTTTTTTTTTTCATTGTCACGGTGTTGCTACTTGAAAAGGAAATGCACGAATTGTTTGGATGAATGCAATGTAATAAAAGAAATGGTGGTCACTTTCTTTTTTAATTTTACCGTATTGGATTTCCTTATGTTGAATTAGTCAAACTAATCCTTCATATATCTCACTTTTATATATATACCATGTTAACATCTCAAAGACCTCTCCTCCTTGAATTTGCAATCTAACAGTCCAAAAATACGTCCCCAACCTTTAAAAACAATATATATAGAGAGGGATGGAAGAAGCAAGGTGAGTTGGCAAATATTCCTGAACGTCGTCCTTATCTCCAATCAAAATTTCGTCTTCAAGAGTTGCGCATAACATATCGGTCTATCTCAATATGTATTGGTGGGTACAGTGTGTGGGAGCATGTGAACAACTTGAGTCACATCATGGTATCTGGATGGTAGCATGTTGTTTCATCAAAAATATCCCCTCCATCACCAATTTTACCACTTCCATCCCTACATCTCTGATTCACAGCCCAGTTTTCTGTTTCCAATGCCTCTTATCTCTCCTTTCCCCCTCACGATCAGAATCATAGACTTTGTAATTATTACCAGTTGCAAAAAGGTTAGCATCGTAATCTGCAAAGCTATAATTTCTAGGTTTTTTTTTTAATTTAAAAAATCCTTGAATGAAATTGATAATAAATAGCATTCTTGCATGCCTTTGTAATTGTCATTCGCTTCCCTCTTACCATAAATTAGTCTTGATTTGTAATAATTTGGTTAAAGTGCAGGATTCCCACAAATCTTATGCATAAACGAATGCATTTTTATCATCTGATTCATGCACAATGAGAACCAACGAACTTGTAGATTAATTGATATTCATTTATTTCTCTCAATAGATTTGAGTTTGAGATTTTTTTTTAAAAAAAATAAAAACTTAATGGTGAGAATAGCACAAATACATAAACGCCTAATATCATCCTGTGTCTAAATCCTGACAAAACATTTTTCTAAAATTATTTTCTACAATGCCTAATAGGTTTTAAAAAATTGATTCGAATGACATCCAAAGTTTTCAATGATGTGAGAAATTTTATTATGTATAAGGAGTAATTAGTGACATATACATTAATTAATTCATGAATTCATTTAGAAGCAGAGAGATAAACACATAAAAAGAAAAAGAAATAGAAGAGAAAAAATTAAAAAAAATTAAACAAATGTAAAAATATTTTTATATTTTTTATGGATACGAATATAATTTTATATGTTTATTTTTTTATCAAATAAAATTATAAAATAAATATTATATATGGTATTAGTTGTTCCTTGAAATGATGCTTACAAGTCTATTGCCGGTTGCTGGATACGGTAACTTTCGGTCAGCTAATTTTGGGGCATGATCGGATTGCACCTTTCCTGTAAAACACAATCAAATGGGGTTTGTGACTTAGAACATTGGTTCTGGAGGAAGACAAGAACTGGAAAAGGGTTCTTTTTTTTTTATTAACTTCAATCGGACCCCCACCCCCATGTGATAATTTCAGCAACAAGCTTTTTTGATACATTAGGCAGCCGTGTAGTACGTTAGGAGCTATAGCTACTGGGTCCAAACTCCAAGCTTACGTGCCAAAGATCAAACATCAATGGTACACAATTGAACCTCTTAGGTGGACTCACATCAAACCCTACTGTTGAGAGCTTTATTCTATCGCTTTTTAGCACATCCACGTGCCTAATGAACAGTGGAGTTTTTTTTACTTTAGCGGCTGGAAATTAAAGAAGCAGGTTGATGATGACTTTCGATGGAAAGGGGCTAAGACCTAAGAGCTAAGAGGGCTACATGTTCGAGTTTCTTGAATAGTTGCAGAAGATGATCTAATTCGTACTTTTCATCGCATTTTGGAATTTGGAAAGCCCCCAAGATAACAGTTTATAATCCAGGTTTCTTTAAATTTTCTTGCTTGCTTTGATCCCCTGTAGTACTTTGTATTAAAGAGTTTTATCGGTTAATGCAATGCGTCAGTGACCAAGACTATTAAAAAAATATTTGTTATTGATTGGTTTTTTATTATCCTTTTATAAATGATTTCGTTAACACAAATAATTGCTAATTTTTCAGCTGACATTTTTATTATTCATCCATTTCCAATATTCCCTCCTAAACTACCCCATTTTTGATCCTGCACATTTCTCTCCAGCTCGCCAAAAAGATCTCATATTGACAGCCTTTCCTAATTTTCGCCAAACAATTCAGAAAGAAAGAACATAATGGACACAAATTTCTCTAAACTGATCAGTTACTCTGATAATTGCAAGACAGGGCGACAGGGGGAGATACTGTATAGTAGTAGGGAGGGCATTGTACAAATTAAATACAAAGGCATTTAGCTATTTGTTTTGGAATTTTG